CTCTAGCAAATTATATATGGTAGGATAAGGAAGATTTTGTACGGTGGCTAAAGATCATTAGTTTTGGTCACTCATCCCTATCACTCATTCTAGGATTTCTTTGAGAAATTCATGACGCCTCTAAAGCCTTTCTTTATGAAATTTTTCGAAGAATATAACGATCGCAAGCAGCCATTTATTTTCACGTAAAGCGGCGTGGCACGAACCACTGGTCCCTGGCATTAACATTTCACGACTTTTATGGTATGAATGAAAGTCTCGATCTTAACAATAGTCATACACAAAGAATTTGAATCTTCCCCATGTTTGGTATACTGAAGCATTACTTTAGGTCATTTGAGTAGTGAGAAGGAATTACGGAACACAGTACCATACAAGGGTTTCAACTCCAGTTCGTGGACGTTGCAGCCAATTTTGTAGACAGCCTTTTTTGTATATATACCCCTTGATTTTAATTTTGTTTTTATTTCATTCGAAACCTCAAAAACTCCATTTACAATACTAGAGTTACTGAGGTTTAGGTAATGACCACTCCACAGTACAAGTACTGATGGTATAATGGTTGGTTGTCGACCAGTGATAACTTTTCGACTCCACCAATGTTGATGTAGCTCATCATGTTTCTGAACAATGCATCGCGATTATGGCAGTTCACCATGTTTGCTCCAAAATCCATCAGCTTCAGCAAAGGATTCGTTTTGAGGTCTAGCGCGTCGCACGTATTTCTTCCATTTTGAAAGATTATTCTCCATGGGATTCATAAATGGCGAGTAGGGTGGTAGGAAAAGCACGTAGCGACCTTCGTTCTCAATCCGAACCCTCATTTTGGGAAAGAACGTTATATCCAACACCAAGTCGGCGTTTTCGATACCTAGTTACTCGTCGGATAGTAGTTTACTCGTTCACTGTTCATGGGACGGGAGATTGAGATGTTCCTCGTCTGAAGCCCTGGCGCTGTATGAACTGCTGGCGTTTCGCATGGCGATCGACCTCGTCTAGTGCGCATGGACTTAATGCGCTGAGCCCAACTGGGCCGATGAGTAAGATCTGCGTCTTAGCGACGTGAGTGATGGGTTCTATAATTCAATGAGCGAACTCATATGTTGCCCCGATAGCTTCTACATCGCTGCACCGGTTGATTGGAATTGAACTCGTCCGATAGTGTAGGAAAATGCCGCCAGCGCCCGTTGATTTCACACCACACACACCGCCGTCTGGCAGAGCAGAGACGAGTGGTGCTGCAGTCCTTTCATCGTTTCCAGCTTTCAAGAACTTGTTTATGGTCCCCCATGCAACAATAATAAACTATGATTTCCCACCAACGGTCTACAATAAAGAAGGAATAACGACTTCTAATGATGTCATCAGTCGACAAATTAGTAGGCAATTCAAGGCTTCAGTCAAAACTAATCATTTGCTCAGCCGCCCCAGAAATCGAACGAAAATCGGGATTGTAGAGAAGGCGATAACTCTTCACCCTACTCTGTAATCCCTCCTTGAAACAAACTAACATGTACCGAGGCTACATCGTAAATACTTGAGCGATAACCAGCTTCAACTTCGTTTCTTTTCAACCCTTTTCATAGGTTATCACTTGTTATCACCTACTATCCGTATGTTCACCCTACCGCCTTCATTCCCTTCCAATTTTGAACACTCTAGGTTTAGAGGGACAAGAGTTGCGAGTTTTTGTTCAAACACACGCACACCGGACACATTGACAAACAAACAAACAAACACACACACAAACACCTACGCGCCATCAGATACACTTAGCAAATCATTATGTACTGTAGGATATAATTCTATGGAAACGTACGTAATTATGCTTCTAATCGCAGCTCGCAATGCCGTAAGAAGGATAGAAGGTCCCTTATTATAATTATTATTAGTGATCGATATCATAGTGCTGAAGTGTGTCCTCTCAGTAATCACCGGTAGCCGAATACTGATTTCTCACTATATCCTTATGCAGTTGCTCTGATGGTGAGACAACAGAAGAAAGCTAATAATAATTACATTAATTGATACTAACTACTTGCTCAATCATCAACATCTAGCGTTATCTAATATAAACACTTTCACTAATACCACATTAATAGGGCTTCTGAGCTTACTCCTACTGTTACTATCCCAGATTCTGATGGGTTTATCACTATCTTCAATGAACCTTGAGGAAGTTCCGTGGACGAATAGACATTTAAACACTCAGACAAAAATTTAACCAACGAACCCGCACACCAGTTACTGTTTTGTATGTTAGAAGGGTAGGCGCAATAAGATCAAAGTTAGCAAAACAATCCCACATACAGGAATTGATTTAGTGCAGTATGGGTGGACGTGCTGATGCATCGAACTACATACTATATTATACTAAATAAATGAATTATGATTGTATGCATGAGTTGTAGAATCGAGGTCTGATTAAGACAGTATATGCGAAAAGCTTACCAATAAAAGCGAAGAAACAAGAGATTCGAAAATTTGCGTATGCAAGACGACAATGTACTGAATTCGTTTCAGGTGCGACAACGAAAAACATTCTTGAAGGTGGGCCAGTCGTTATTGGCAAGGAAAGATCTGGAATTAGAAACACAATTCAAAGACCATATGATTCAATCCGTCATGCCTAAAAAGGTGATTTCAGACTTTTACTTTTTATTTGTCATTTCAACGTAGGGCTTGACACAACATTCACTTCACTCACTCCAAACTCTTCACTTCCTCACTTCCAAACAAACTGTCCATTTTTGTCTTGCCCATCCAGTTTGCTTCTATAATGGCAACCCATTATTGACTTTTTCGGACTTTTTTGAAGATAAAGGTTGCTCTGGATTGCAGTAATTGTCCTGATTTCCAAGCCCAGCTCCAATTAAGGGGGAATTTTCAATTTTTTGAGAGCTTGGAGCTTTGGATTTTTTAAGACATACAAAATGACAGCTATAAAAAATAGGTATATCAAAAAATCAATGCACTATCGAAACAGATGTTTTGAACCATGCGCACGATTGAATGCTTTGCTATACTCAGTCCACCGCAGAGACGACCGGAGATCATGATTGAGCCCCGCCTCATTTTTTACCATTTTTTTGCTAATTCTTTTGCTTTCAAAGTTATCCCTCTTAAGGTAGCTGACGAGCTTCTAAAAGACGCATCTGAATTGCGGCGTCCGTCGGCTAGTCTAGATTCAAACTGTCGTACTTCGAGTGCCACCCAGCAAGGGAACAACGAAGAACAACGTGAGACCCTTGGTTCCCTTTCGTGGATCATCCATCATCGACTGCCCAGCATATTTCAGCTCTAACTCATCTCAAATCAGTGCCGGATGTGAGAAAATTCCGACCGTTCACGATGAATTTGATGACGGACGTGTCGATTTTGTTCGCTGACATTGCTGGCTTCACAAAGATGTCCTCAAATAAATCCGCCGACGAACTAGTGAACTTACTGAACGACCTCTTCGGCAGGTGAGGTTCAATAGAAAGTCAGCGTTTAATTCTTCAACATTGGATACCATCCCGTATGATGCATGAATGTGTTGCAGATTCGATTATCTCTGTCGAGTGGGTGGTCTGGAGAAGATAAGTACACTCGGTAAGCAGTTATTGTCCTTATGTACTAGTTTTTTTTTTGTTTTCATTTTTTTGTACCATAGTTTTCTACCACACACTGCTTGAACTGATCTCGTAATTTTCTTCTTATATTAGAAAGAGGTCTATGAAAAAGGAAAAAGTCTTCAGGCGATTGTTACTACTGCGTTGCCGGTTGTCCGGAGCCATGCGCTGATCATGCAATTCGAACAGTGGAAATGGGACTGAACATGATTGTCGCTATTCGTCAGTTCGACATCGACCGAGGTCAATCGGTAAACATGAGGGTGGGGATACATACAGGAAAGGTGAATTATTGTGATCGATTCTGTTTTTGTACCAAATGATATTGTTTTCCCTATAAATAGCTGATATGGAAGGAGAGGCCGTCGAAAAGGAAATTTGAAAAGTGCGGAAGCGAGGGGGGAATGCGGAATTCATACCCAGACTTTCAGGAATACGTGCCGGCAAATCCTTGAATCTTGCGGCATCAAACCATTGCGCCCACACTCACCCATCGGAAACGCGCTGCAACCATCCGGAACTGACTCATATTGTGCATTGAAATCGCTCATCTGAGAAATGCGGCGGCTGCACTCGCCGCTCGGGCATAAATCTCATATTCGTAGGGCTGTGACATGCCTGTAAGTACCGTATGATGGTGGTGCCCAAACTCGTTTGATTCGGATTGTGTTCAAATGGGCTCCTTTTTTGGGAAGATGAACCATTGCTGACAAAGTAAGCTATCACGTCGAAGTACAAGGAAGTGCTCACCTCAATTGGATTTGCGAGAAAGAAAGTACCGAATCCGAACTCCTTGAAGTCGCCTTCGAGATCGCATTTATGGCTCATGACTTTTACCACGATTTTTTTTCTTCGCAAAGAAAACAGCTGATCCGGTGTGTCTACAACATAGAAAAAGTGGCGCATTGAACTTGTTCCTGTGCTTCTTGAAGACAGATATAAGCTGGGAAAATAGTCCGTGTGTTGGACTAGTAGACGCCTGTGCAGAAACGGTCAAGGGATATACTGTTCGGCCCGTTATTTTTTATCATAATGAGTACCAAAGGATGAGTTTTAGGTCATGTGCGGCATGGTCGGTACAAAGCGTTTCAAATTCGACGTGTTTTCGAATGATGTGACGTTGGCGAATGAGATGGAGTCGACGGGAATCGCTGGGAGGTAGCTCCACTTTGCGATAACCACATTACGACCGAAAATTATATGCCTTTGACAGGGTTCATGTATCGGAGGCTACTGCAAAGTATCTCAGAGAGGACTACATACTGGAAGATGGACCCGATTATGACGGTTAGTGTCATTCGCAAGCGTTCGATATTTTGCAAAAAAGGCGTGATGAAGGGCCCAAATAGTTGAATTATGACCCGATTACGACGGTGGGTACCATCCCCAAGGCTTCTAAGTATAGAAAAAAAGGCATTATGAAGCGCTCAAGAGACTCGAATTCTATAAATAAATAAAAATGAAAAAAATAAATAAATGATACGATCATACAGCACAACTATACTGAGGAGACAAAAAATTATCAAAATTGGAAAATAGAATGACGAACGACTTGGAATCAGTAAAGGACAAGGAGAAATACATGAAAACCGAAGTCATGCCAAACAAAAACTTTCAAGCAATAAATGTAAATGCATGTAAATGCTCCAATTGATTGCGGAATATTCTAATTTCAGGTCCGTTAAGGATGCAAGTGCAGGGCACAGAGCGACGAGTAAAACCAGCAAGTTAGTTCCGCTGAAGCTCTGTTCTGAACGCAAACGAAGTTTAAATAATCACTCACTGATTTAGGCATGAAGACGTATTTCATCAAAGGGAGACTTCGAGATTCCTTAGAAGACGGGCTCGATGCAGGATCGGATCGTGAACCTCCCGTCCAAAAATCGCTGACGTCTGTCTCTACCGCAAAGCCAAAAACCGGTTTTAAGCAGGTACTGATTTCGTGAGATGTTTTTGTCCTGTTTTAAAATGGGGCCCCTATCATTGGAAAATGAGTCACAAATACGGCCACGAAAAACTCAAAAAAAAAACCCCCCAACTCCAAAGTTATGCTGCTGCATAATAGTCATGTTATCATTGGACTCAGTTCTGATTTGAAGGTATAAGGATGAAGATTAAGTCTTCGGCATCAACCAAGAGAGATTTAGATTGAGTCGGGTCGCATGAGTTTCCCAAGCCTCTTGTGCCAACCTATATATACCAAGTATTTTACATTTTAAAATCGACCTAATTCAAAATATGAAAATAAGAAGATAGAGTTACAATCCATCAGGGAAAACGGCCATGGCGAATTTCAGAAAATAGCGGGGAAGCTGAAAATGAACCACGCCAATTCGTATCCCATTCGAGCCTGCGGAGGTGGATCGTTACGAATGAAACTTGTCGAGCGAAATCGATCAACACAGTTATTGCCAAAAGAGGTGAGTCCCCTCCATTATAAACGATATCATAAAAAACAGTAACTTAGCTTTCCCACCTGGACTCCTTTTTAACAATTGCCCTCAACTGGTTGTTAATAACAGAACAGTGCGTACCACTACTATATGTCCACCTTTCATTTTACCGGTAGCCTTTCATGGGTGAGGTGCAGTAGGAGCGAAATTGTCGCGTTGCGGCGAAAGAGACGCCGCCGCGAAGGAATGTAGCAGTATGCAGCCGCGAGTAAGAAATACAGGAACGAAAGAACAATCAATAGAATCATGTCCAAAGTTATATTACATAGCGACTGGGTTGTATGAAGAACGATGGAACCGCCATAGCGAGGTAAATGGTTCGCGACAGCCGCGTGCGGTGGATCGATTACCCAAAACCGTTCCTAATGCCCGTCTCCCGCCTTTCATGGAGCAGCGCATGTGATTTCAAGAAAGTTCGTGCTTGGAATTCCTTTGTAGTAGGCATGGTGAAAGGTGTACCGGAACAATTGCAATTTCGCCTGCCTGTTTCTTTTTTCGCAATCTTTTGTAAAAGCAGGGATAGCGCTTGATGAAAACTTCTTTTTGTATCAAAGAATCGGGGCTTCTACAATGCATTGCGGTCGTTCGCGATCCTGTTATACAGCAACTCTCAAGATTTATTTCTTCCCACGCCTATGTCCCTCTCCGCAGCTATTGCTCATGAATCAGAGCCTTCAGCTCAACATGATATGAAAGATATCAAAGAAGCGCTATAAAGTCCTCAGATCAGCTACATACTTGACGACTCATCTCGCTTCAAATCAGACATGAGTGCAAGGGAAGTGGCTTACAATTTGTCAATCAAGTGAACTTATATACAAGTACCTCAATTACTGAAGAAGAAACAGGAGGAGCGTGGCAACGTGTAGTCTCCCCCATAGAGCCCGACGCGGATATCAAGTTTTCACAAGGCATTGTTTGTTGCCATTTCATAGGGGATCCTTGTTATAAGTGACAACAAGGAAAATAAAGGTTGCGCTCCCCTGACACCAGCGCATATCTGATTTGCAAAACCGCATGAGCGATGAATTCTGTTTGACCCCAAGTAATAATATGATTCTTTCGAGATTTTTCAGTCAAACTCGATATGCATTATGGAGGATAACAAGAAATCCGCTTCGCTGCAAGCGTTGGCTACCAGCAATCTTCATAGTACGGTTGTCATATAAAACTATGAGTTCGTCTCCGAGATTAGCCTATTCTCAAGTTTCAGACAGTACTCCCGAGGCAAATGATTCCTACACAGAAAAAACTGTTCACAAAAACAGCAGTGGAAGCAGTAGTGTAAAAGGATCACGAAGCTCAGGATTACAGGTTAGTCGCATTACGTAGGCATAAAAACATTTTATTTGCCATTCGGATCGTCCGGCTTACTCAGGTCTCCCCTATCTGTTACAAAGACGACACGGCTGACCCTTCAGTCCTTCTTGCAGATGAGTAAATCATTTCTGAGCAAATTTTCAAAGGGAAGTGGTCCCGTTTAGGCAGGAATAACAAATTCGAGAGCAGGACGTACGCATATAGCTTATGATTACCATATCTGAAGTCGTTGCCCCTGTTTCCAACAAAGACCATCATTAGAAAATTACGTTATCCTCTTTATTGGGTGTACCAGCACAGAATTTTCAGCAACTGAGCAGTTGGTAATCCAACCGAACCCTTGATTGAAACTAACTAATGTAGTCGATTGGTGTTAACATCACT